CTAGTCACTTGTGCCTTCTAACATAGATCTCACCATTCAAGTTTGCCCCTCACAAGCCCCCATTCAAGTTCAAAAATAATGCCAAGTCTATAAATTATTAACCTCTCTTTTCCTGTATTCGACAATAGATTTGAAGAATTATTCCTCGTGATTTACGAAATGTCAAAAGGTTGACATTCCATTCTTGGATGTGGAGTTAATTGTTTTATTGGTCATTGAAATGTATGTCACGTCTTATTTACTGTTGTTTCAAACTTTTCTTAATGACCACTCAATTTTACTCCATCCAATCCCATTGGCTACTGGATGGAATCCATTAGTGAATGATTTTATGTGAATAACACAAACGTGATGTGACACATTAAGTATATGAAATGTTAAGTGAGTTGCCAAATTATCGTCACGTCAAATGCACCTTCAGCAAGTGGTATAAGTAAAAACACGATTTTCCTTCTTCAACTTAGCCAATTCATTTCTCTGCAAATCAAATGGAATTCCCCCAAATTGACACCCCAAACCCTCACAACAGTTCTCAAATTGAAACCCATTCATTTTGGAGGCAAATCTCAAATTACAAGTGTGAAAAGCCAAATGCTCCAACCCCTAACCCTAAAACCCAAATCCATTTCATTCTCATCGCTTTATGCTCTTGAAATCAAGAGAAGAATTAGGAAAAAACCATTTACATCATCAATCCAAAACCTGAAATTGGCTTTTCCCATACCTAAAATTGATTTTCTCTAATGTTGTGATTCCGTTTTTACCATACTTAACTTCCACAAATAGCTGGTGAGTTTGAATTTGCATTTGGTTGTATCACTGTGATTAATACTATTGTGTTATCATGCTTTTGTGTCCCTGCAGTTTGTTTTACTAATTTATCCATGGAGGCCATTGACTTGACGCTAAACGTATTGAATTTGTGCGTGTTTGTTGAAATGCTTCTACCCCTGCAGTTTGTGTCACCGCTTTATTCATTAAAACCATTTATTTAACGCTAAACGTACAAAATTCCCTGGCTGCACATATTGTTTAGAATGACAGAGAAAAATAAAGACATTTTGTCATAAAGTTCCGGCACAACTTGTCTGAATGCCTGATAAAGAAACGATGCCCAAAATGTGGTGTTGGCTTCTTGAAATGTATGGAGGTAGAAAAAAATATTGGAAACGTAGGTTGCTTATTCTTATGATGTACTTGTTGGGAATTGATTTAAACATGCATAGCGGAATTTAACAAATTTCAATTCCCATTCAAGATTCAGCTTTGTATTTAGATAAAAACTGTGATGAGAAATATACCTTTTGTGTGATTTGCAAACTCTTTCGCGTTATTCCTTTCCAGCAGCTTGAATCTGCCTCCCACAGCTGTCCAATTGTGCAGCCTCCAATGAAATCCACACAGAGAGAAAACAGCAACTGCTAGGGTTTCTTTCTTGTGCTAGCAAGAACAATGAATAACTTAATGGACCTCAAACCCTAGCTGCATATATATATAAACCCAAACGGACCCGGCCCGGTCCGGTCCAATATTTAATTAATCCAATTAATCAAATCCGGTCTGTGAATTAATTAATCCAATTAATTAATTCGGGATTATAAATAAGAAATTCAATTAATTAATTTATCCAACGATTGTTAAATTAATCAATTAACAATTTGCAGTCTTCAAATTCTCTTTTGTGTGCGACCCATTAGGTTCCCGACCACGATGCCTAACGTCGTGAAATATTATTTTGATCTAATCAAAATCGATAAATTAATACACCCTTTTAATTTATCGTCAATTCACATTCGCCGTCCCTGATTGACATCTAGCAATGTGTCAGGGCAATACATGTGACGAGAAATGTCACGTGGTATGACAAAACCAAAATCGTTCGTTTATCATGGAACTATTATCCCTTCGTCAATACGATCCGATCAATTACGAGATATGGAATTGTGTCAATCTCGATCATCGATCATATCTTTCATTCCACTATTAAGTCAATATAAATCGAAAACTCCTTTTCGACTTATGAGTACACCTTGGCCAAGGATTTCATCATCGACTTAATTGAATGAAACGCAGATCATAATCTCCTAATATCTAAGAGTGACGAATCCTTTATTGATCAATCACAACCTTCATACGATTCTTGACGTACCCGAACGATGTCGTATTAGCGGCCCTTTTCAGAGCAACATCCAACACCGCCAAAGTATGACTGTCCTCATATAGGGTACTATGAC